CGCGCTTGCTGCGCCAGATACAAGACGTCGAATACGCTCATTGCTCACAGGTGCTCCCACCAAACCTGAGTTAAGCTCTTATGGCACAAATCAATTATTACAATGTAAACGTGGTCAGGAAACACCTTCTTGAATTTATAAAATATTTTTTCCCTTTTGATGGTCTTCTAACGGAAATGTATCATAGTAGTTGAAAATCTTGATCAATACAAAAGCACCACTAAATTTTTATTATGCGCTTCTAACAGTGGATTCGATGGACAACCTAATTCCCATATTGGACTGGGTGGAGTAGTGGGTTTGGTGGCTGGTCTTCAGTTGAATTCTTTATGGTCGCAGTTCATTTAACCGGTTCATTGGCAGACATGGAACAGTATACATTTAATTCACGTTTGCCATGTGTAACCTTGAGACAGTTAGCGGGAGCGGTCTGTCACTTGCAGATATGCTCGATGACGAGGAGGTAATCGTTACGCTGAAATGCCTTAAACAGACTGTTATAATTTCGTTTAACTTCTCTGTACAGACCATCAATACGTACAAAGTAATATAAGTGGTAAATTGTTCAGAATGCCAAAAACGTGTTGCTGTTTCGGTATCAGCATATATATATATATATATATATATATATATATATCGTGTTTTGCTTTTTCTATGTGCTTAAGCTTCGTCCTATAACCGTTTGATCGTAGTTCGTCCTAATACGATGTTTGTGTTCCTGACTGTGAGCCAGCGTATAATCCGAACCGTATGGTCATCTGTACAACCATGGCTAGCATAATTACAGGACGCTAATTCAATTCACTCAGTTGTTTGCTTAAAAGTGCTTGTTTCCATTAACCATTTAGGTTTCTGAAACCTATGAGGTCCTCAGTTTAGACAAGCTAGCGTTTACACAAAGCTGCGTTAAGAGGGAAATTGGCTAGAAAAAGGTCACTAGATACAAGTAGAATAAAATGAGGGAAGCTGGCGAGTATATTGGTTAGGTCGATCCATGTGTTATAGTTCTAGAGTAACTGTTTTTATGCCCCGAACTCACATTGGAATGGTTTTCTTGGTAGTGTGCATAGCAAATGATATCGTCATCAAACTGAAAGCAGCCAAATCATTACCATAATCTACGTATAAATATGATTATGCCTGTTCAGTTTGGTATCGTTATCCTAAACAGATATACTTAACAATGGATCTTAAATCAACCACAGGTTGCACTTCTTTCACCTACAAGTAAACAGGCACTTAAGTAAATAGCACATTTCTCGATATTTCGCGAGTTGTAGAGCCGAACTCAGTTACTGGTAGGGACAATTACCAGTAAGACCAACCACGAATGCCTAGTATACAGAAGTGAAACTTTGCCGACACCAACGTGTAGTGTACGAGGAACAAAGAACTGAAAGTCAATTAGCGAAGTACGAAGCGATGAACCGTAGAACGAACAGGAAACGAAAGTGAACCAGACCTGTCGTCAGTACAACAAATGGACGATCGGAAGATACAAACAGGAATAAAATCCAATGTCACAAACTGTTGAAAGCGTAAATGTTTCACCTTCATTGCGGAGTACGATCCGACGAGAGGTCAGAGCTAAAAGCAAACATATTACCTTATGTTTGATGAATGAATATGCGTTAACTCATAATTCCGACAAACGTTTCAACTGTCTATCTGTACTACGATGTCAAGTGCTGTTATTTTCCATATAAATTTCGAAAGGGGTATGGCGCTTGTTCCAATTTGGTCGGCGTTTTGATGAAAAGCTATGCGGTAGAAACTTGTGTGTCAATATCGATATTTGCCATAACGTATTTTTCAACTATTTCCAGAAGATTTTAAGCAAATAGTTTCCGTACGATTCTTTTCTATTAGCAAACCTCATCTTCAAACTCCTGTAACGCCACAGTGGGTGGATTTGAGAACCCGAACTTCAATGTTAGATGCTAAAAATGGTGTGGGTACGGTGACTGCGAAACACGACAGACGGACGAAAAACAAATCGCATGAATGCGGTAATTAAGTATAGGAATAGGAAAGAAACTGTTTATCCTTACATCAACTAACCTGTAATGCTTGCACAACTAGTAAAAGACGAAACTACTAAAATGAAGTAGTGATTTCCGTTAAAATTTTGCACATCTGACAAACCGAGGAACTCTCCAAACTGCTACACCTTCATCTTCCCTGTAGATCTGAGGGTTGCGTAGTAGGTATAACCGAGGAAATAGGGAAACAAATAAGTGAATACAGAAGGGGATGTAATGACTTATTTGGGTCTCCCAAAAGTACTTGAAAAGCTTTGGAGGAGCAGTGTTCTCTTTCGTTCGCTCACGATGGAGTAGTGACGCACGAACTAGAAATATCACAACTGTATAAAACAGGGGGAACTGATGTCGCCTTTATCTGTGCTAGACGAAGTCCTTAGCTGCACCAAATCGGGTGAAGGAGTTAGATTCTGCGACAAGAGTACAGATGTGTTAATTTGCGCTGTATTAGGTAGACAGAACTAAATGCATATTTTTTGTTTAGCACTATGTTCAACCGACTTAAATATGAACGTGAGCAAGTGCCGTGCTTTGCTCTCTGGCAATTAGGTTTGCAAACAACGTACTTTTTCCCAGGGTTTTAGATTCACTTAAATATGCAAATGGAAGGTGAAACGCGCCTCAGAAGTTGATTACAAGTTGTTAAGACAGCGGCTGGGTCATTGAAATCATGCCATTAGGTAGACCTCTTGGCCTATTGTTTACGGCCAAAATTACCTTTGGTATTGACCGCTGGTAATAACCGCTGAAGCATTTTTAGCAGTGTGAACCGAGTCCTTTGTGTGACAGTGCGAAACTGCCTTTGATTTCAAAATAACGCGATCATAGGCTGTTTTTATCTCAGCATAAACAGAGAGCAACTGGAAGCTTCACTCCTCGCTAAGGAAGCAAATTCACTAGCTTGAAGAGCTCCCCGCACGCGTGCTTCAAGTATTTGCTTCACAGTCAGTCATCAACGTTCAACATTTATAGTGCTAGCCTTCAATTGATGTTAGGTAAGGAAACGATACTATTAAAGCTATACTCCCAGAAAAAAATGGTTTCTGTCGCCAACGGGATTGTCTAATTGTCAATTGGTTCATCCGGAAGTCTATGACAAACCCATTTACTTATGATTCATGTACGCTGATCATGTATTTCCGCGGTTGTATGTAAGGGCTATTGAAACTGAGCAATATCCTGCTTACGCAGGTCCGCGCTTGTCGCGGTGCCACTGTAGGTTCAACCGATGAAGGTTGCAAGCGTGTCTGCAGCTACTTATGTTCTCGAGTCACCTACTGCAGTAATTAAGCGTTACAGATGACGCTTGATGTTCTCAGTACAAACGGACTGCGAGTGTTTCCAACAGCTTTGTGAATGGGCTGATCTCGCATTCCCATTGTATCAAAGAACTCCACTGGAATGGAGGCCCTGTAAGCAAAATTTGGTCCGCCTCAGTACCAACACGTAAACCGAAGAATACTAGGTGTTGCCAGTCCGAAAACACCGCACACCGCCACCGGTTTCGAATTTATTCAACCACCTCAGATGGAGATAGCAGGCACTTGAACCCGGGACCATTGGGATGTTACTTGAGACCTCTACCCCTTTAGCCACTGGGTCACGCCGGGCAACCATTGGTACAACCTTTAATGGTTGTTTGACCGGTCATTTTTTAGCACTTGTTGCGTGCTTGGATTGCGACACGCAATCTCAATGTGGACCACCATGCAGATTGAAGTCCGGTCCCAATACTCTACCTATGCATGTCACCCATGTAGGAGCATGGATTCTTCTGAATAAATTGATCTGTGCCGCTATAGACACCGTTTCTCTCATCACGAGAGATATACGTATTATTATTATTAGTGTTATTATTATTATTATTCACTTTAGCGTGCACTGTGATCCACATTTCGATTTCGTGTTGCGATTCAATCATACAACCAGTGCTTCAAAATGACCCAATAATCTGATTGTCGTGGCTCTTCTCTTTAGGGTACCTATTGGACCATGCATGAAACAAGAAAATAATTCACTATGACACATTGTGCCAGTGTGTTCACCAGAAATGCTATGGTGGGTGACCGTGGTGTTGGTGTGGATCTCTCTCGGGCCTTCGGTTTCTTGTTCTCATCTTGGAACAGGGCCATTAGTTCACCAAATCCGCATCTTGCCTGCAAAGCTTGAACCTCAGTACTGGTGATATTTCTGTTTGGCGCCACCTGGCCCTTCATAGCCATCTATCGTGTTGTAAACTCCTACTTTAAAGGTCATCATTATTACTTAATTCATGCTGCGTTGTGGATGCCACGTGAAGCAATTTGTAGAAACTACTTCCGGATAGGCAATCGTTACTACTATGCCTTCAAGGTAGGGTGCAAAATAAGGGATCTCTTCTTGACAAATATTTAATTGAAAAAGCCATGATTTCATTTCTACATTTCTATAAACCTTTTCGGCGTTTGTACATACGGGAAGAAGAAATTAGTTTAGTCCATGACGAACAGTGATGCGTGCACCCTAGCAGTGGTCTCAACTACCTTGTCAACTACTTCTCTGACTCCAGCTGCTGTGTCCGGCATAACCATTATGTGACTCACTGATGCACTTGGTTTGTATAACTTTTTATGCCAATTTGGTCCTAATTCTTGAACAAATTGATAAGAAGGTTTTCTTTTCTATTGCTTTGGCAACTTGGTTCACAAATCCTCATTATATTGCATCTAATGTGTTCACGTGAAACTACCACTGAATTCCTGGGCTTCAGGAACCTATCTACTGAAATGAAATGAACCTACCCCCAGAATTACAGGGTTACTTGTTAATATCGTCTGTTTAAAACGTTAATGAATATCCTGGTCTGCTCGTAAGTAAATACAATTCTTCAGTGTTCGCTTGTACTAGTTTTGTTCTCAAGCACAGATATTGACATTTATCGGCTTCACTTACTGGTTATCACCGGTTCTATTTTGATAGTTCACTTGGCGTTCGTGGAAGATTACACCAAGGAATGATGGGGCAAAATATCGACCAACTGAACAAACTGTTTTGCGTGAAGACTTTTTACATGATGACCGAATTCAATGTGGGTGTGCTCTACATGATCCAATTCACCTACAGCCGAAATACTGCGTGTCCTTGGACCTGAAATGCTGGACTACTGTCAAAAAGTTGCATCCGGGCGAGCTGATTATTTAGTCAGAATGCCGACAGATGTATTAATGAAGATCATCTCCTCTCTCAATTTAGAGGATGTGATAAATCTCGGTTACACTTGCAAATTCATGAACAAGGTTTGTACTGCACCAAAGCATATGTAACCCCTTTGCGTAGCTATGTAACGACGACGAACTGTGGAAAGCAATCTATGCCAAGAACTCGGTTATTCCTGAGAATGAGACCGTTGAAGAGCTTTCGAAACTCTTTGGATGGAAGAGACTGTTTTTCACAAACAAACTCCAGTTGCAAGTAATCATGCACACACATGATATACAGTGAATCTTTATGCGTCTTATCCGATGGTTACAGATGCAGGTTAGAAGGTTGCGGATAGAACAAACTAGTGGCGGTGGGGATGATGATGTTGGTGTCGATTCCAAGAGTAGGGAGTCAGGATTCGGTAAGTTCCCCCTCCTCGAACTTATGTCATCTTAGTGTGAGGCTATTTACCAATGTCTACTTCTACAGCTTACATTAAAAAATAGTTCTAACTTTTCCCACATGATCGGAATGAAACCAACAGCTCATGAGGAAAGTAAACTTGTTTATTGTCTTAACTGGAAGAAATCACATTATGAGGCACTATGATCGATATTTGCGCTCCGGAAACCGCGCCAATTGGTATCAAAAGTGTAGTTTAATGGAATGATTTTTTTAGAACGTGAGGCAAAACGTTCAGTGACGCGATGCTAGGACCACCGAAAATAATCTACCAACTGCCACAGGTATTCCTTTTACAGTTTTAGCCATGTGGTATAGCAAAATTTCACAAAAATGAACCGTTTCCACACTATTCAGTAAGATTGTTTGAAGGTGCAATTTATCCAAAACGTGAGCAATTCATTACTAGATGTTTAGTGCGACAGCACAGACATATCCCCAAGTAAACTAACTCGAACTAAATATTCTAACTAGCAACAGTAAAATGTACTGCGTCTGGCGATCCTCAGAGAAACAAAACAAATTCAGGTCCAGAAAAATATGTATAATATAGACAAATAACTTCTGTCAGACTGTGCACAAGTATGAATAAAGATTTCGTGGATTTGTTGTCTTTGGGGAGCATACTGATGCCCGTCTTCAGTTGAAACATGTGACATCTTTTTAGTAACGTGAAGTCATTTATTAGGACTGAAAACTGCCGTCATTACTTTTGGGTCACATGACTTTTGGCCCGGCGATCTACAAGGTGTCCAGAAAGAACTCGAACTTTTACTCTAATAGCCTTTTATTCATTGCAGATTTTAAGCACTCCACCTCAAAGTAAGTCCCCTCTACACCGCTCCCAACGTTGCTTCCCATTTTAGAAAGTCTCTTAATACGCACTTTCTGGAATGGAGCGAACGTCTGTTGTTGCATTTTCCTGAACCTCACCTATGGTTTGGAAACGACGTCCTTTCAACGTGGTTTTAAGTTTGGGAAACAGGGAGAATTGCAGGCGCTAGGCCCGGAGAATACCGTGGATGGAGCACAACGGGGTGTGATGTTTTGTTATATAGCTGCGGACAAGGTGTGATGTGTGAGCCGGCTCAATGTCATGATGCGACATCCAAGTTTGATTTTCCCACAGTTCATGCCTCCCTGCGCACACCCCACAAACGTGCTAGAATTTATTGGCATGATCCTACGTTGATGCACACTTCATCAGCAACTTCTAGAACAGTTAAACGAGGATTTCCAGGGATCATAGCGCGAACTCCCTCAGCATGGTAATTGTTTGTTGATGTGGTAGGTCGTCCAGGCTTGGGATCGTAACCGGCCAACATGCTGCACTGTGTTCAAGACACTTAAACCACTCATAACACTGCGTGTGACTCATACAAGCTCCGTATGCTTGGCTAAGCAACTGAAGTGTCACTGCAAAAGTTTTTCAACGTCTGTAGCATCCGTGAACAAATGCGCATTCTACTGAAGCACGTCGCGTATTGTACAGTTGGGCTACTCGGGAAGAACTGTCACAGCATCTATCTAGTCACATTTCCTTGGGCTCATCTCGATCGTCTCGCTGCCTACTATCACAACATTCTTTCGGAAATCAGTCGTCGCACCGAGCCGCTTGAGGATGTCATTCCGATGATTGTTCCCGTTGCCCCCTCGATAAGAAACCTGGAATGGCTACGAATCGTTTTCCCAATTCTCACGCATAATCTCTGAGCCCCTGTCATCTTCAAACCTTGTCATCTGACCATTTGCATCGTCACTGATGACTGAGCTAACGGAACACCATCGAAGCTTTTTGTACCGAAAACACCCGCTCCCGTGTCTACCATGGCACTGATCACGACACCCTCAATTGTTATCTCAAGAGAGTGTATATATATATATATACATATATATATACATATATATATATATATATATATTATACACCATCTATGGTACAGATATTGTGCCATCGGAATCATGGCTGAATAGGAAAACAATATGAATAATAAGAAAATAGCAACAAGAAATGCTTTTTTTGTCAAGTTTACCACTCACAGTTTTGGAAAAAATTTTCAGTTTGTTCTTTTTTAGGGGGAGGAAGAAGGGACACCGCAACACACTGATGCACACGTCCGCCATTGACATCGATCTTGAGCCAAAACTTCCAAGGTCTTCAACCAGCAAGTATCCTCATCTCTCGGACCCCAACCAGGTAGTCGACAACAACCGGCCGAGGCCAATTGTTTCGTCAACTTTTCATGCGGCTTCCCTATGTCTAGGCTGTCCACCAGACCGTCTCTTCCAGCCCTGTCCAGCAAGTGCAAACAACGCACGACGGGGATAACGCTGGACAGGCATGCGCAATACGTGTCCCAACCACCGCAGTTGATGCAGTGAGATGAGCTCCTCGAGCGAGTGGCTTCCACGTCCCAAGACACGCTGTCTAACTTCCACATTGCTTAATTGGTGCTGCCAACACCACACACGAGCAAGGGACTGCAGACAGAGGAGCTCGAAGACGGACAGCTTGTGCAAGTCATCTTTACGAATGGGCCAGGTCTCGCATCCGTAAACTGGTGCAACGCGAACAGTTACACCATACACCCGCCCATTGATGTAGAGACGCATGTCGTGGCGACGCCACAAATGCCTCAGCCTAGAAAAAGCGAGGCGTGCTTTCGAGATGCGCATCGAAATCTCGTCTCCAACAGCCCCGCCAGCAGTGATGCAACTTCCCAAGTAGACAAAGCTCTCCACAACCTCCAGTGTCTCACCAGCAAGCGTGAGTGCAGGCAGAGGCACCTGCCAGTCTTGAAGGAGAGCCTTGCATTTGGATGGCGAAAAGTACATACCGTACTTTGATGCTTCAACCGTCAAGCGGTTTAATGCAAGTTGGACGACCTGTGGATCGTCACTCAGCAAGACGATATCATCAGCATAATCCAAATCAACAACTCGACTACCTGGGAGGAGCTCAACGCCAGCATTCAACGAATCGCCCAGAGCGTTATTCAGAACATTCTGTATGGCAAAGTTGAATAGGAACGGAGAGATAGGGCATCCTTGTCGAACTCCACTGGAGACCACAAAGGAAGGCGAAAGATGTCACAAGCCCTAACCCAACCAGACGATAGAGAGCGCGCAGTATGGAGACGAACTTCTCGGGGACGCCATTCCTCAATAAGCAGTGCCACAGTACTGTACGATCGACAGAATCGAAGGCTGCACGGATATCCAGGAACACAGCAATCGTTGGCCTCTGATACACATGGCGGAGCTCGAGGATCTGGCGAAGTGTGAAGATTTGATTTATGTAGCCGCGACCAGGGTGAAACCCAGCTTGTTCTTCTCGTTGCAACGATTCGCGTGTTGGGGATAGCCTGCGAAGTATGATGGACATCAGCAGCTTGCAAACGACGGGGACTAAACTTATTCCTCTGTATTTGGAGCAGATTGTGCGCAGGCCCTTTTTGAAGATGGGTACGACTATCGATTCACCCCAAGATGATGGAACCTTATCTTTCGACCAAATTTTCGAGAACAAAGCGGTGAGTTCTCGGACCAGCGATGCGCCACCATCTTTAAATAGAGGTGGGTGAAGATCATCAGGGCCGGGAGCTTTATAACGCTTCAGGTGCCGGAGCTCCTGCTCGATTTTCTGGGAAGAGGGAGGGTCTGTTGTGGTAGACCACTCGGCCCCAGCGCGAGCGCCAGAGGTAGCAGATGGAGCTGGAGGCCAACAAAACTGCGAGCCAAAATCTTCGGCCCATCGCTCCAACCGTCGTTGAAGATTGGTGATCAAGGTGCCATCCTCTTTGCAAATTGTTTCACTCATACCAGATCGAACACCTTCGGTGACTCGAAGGAGATGGAAGAGTTTCCTGGTATTACCACAGAGACTAGCAAGCTCCATCTCCCTAGCACGTTCACACCACCAAGCTTCGCGGTCCATTTGCAGATTCCTGCGCAACTCTCGACCAAGGTATTGGCGTTCTTCAACGTGTCTGGAATCCCATGGGATCAAGCGGCGTCTGTCCATCAGCGACAAGGAGTCGGCGGAAATCCAATGTTTCGGTGGGTGACGGGTAACTCCACAAGTGTCGATACTGGCGGAAACTAACGCATCTTTGATATGCGCCCACTGCGAATCGAGATCACCGTCAATAGTTAAGCCAAGCAAAGTTGACGGTGAGGGCTTGGTACCTGGTTGAAACCGCAGCGTTTTGTAGATTCGCGACGTCCGGTCGGTAGTGGGTGCGCTTAGGTGATCCTCCGAAACGCATGCAAATCTTAGCACGAACCAATGCGTGATCAGAGTCTAGAAAAGTTGGCCAGTACGATCGGCAGTCCGTTACGTTTCCGCGCTATCTGTAGCTGATTGCTATGTGGTCAAGCTGGGAGCACTCTTGCGTTTGTGAGGGCGGGCGCCAGGTAGCAGTCTGTCTCCTCGAGTGTCGAAAACTAGTGCTCGAAAGAAACAAGCGATGATCAGAGCAAATAGCAAGTAGTCTGTCTCCATTGTCTGATCGACTGCCACCGAGACCAAAACTACCCCCAATGTGGTGCTCGCTTAGTAGAAGGCGGCCAACCCGTGCGTTAAAGTCCCCGGCAAGAATGACTATATCCGTCCGTTTGGAGGAACGCAGAAGTTCATGTAGTTGTTGGTAAAAGCTATCTTTAACTGCATCCGGACTGCAGTCTGTTGGGGCGTAGGCGGAGACGACAAATAAGGCACGCTTAACATCTCGACGCCTGCTTACGTTACATGAACCTCTTAGTCGGACTGCACATAGTCGGCTGTTGACTGGGATCCAGTCAAGCAGAGCTGATTCAGCCCTGGCACTTAATACAACCCCAACACCAGCTTGACCAGTGGCGGCAGATTCTGAGTCTCCGGAAAGCCGCAAGTAGTATTTGGCGTCAGAGTTTACCGGAGAGGCCATTTTGATGACGGCGCTAAAGTCTTGTAATCTG